ACTCAAAATCAGAACGCCTCTCCCTCTAAAGATGATCACAGTTCCTCATCAACAAGGGAACAAGGCTTGATGGAGAACGAGTGCATTCCATTAACAGAATCAGGCTTCAGAAGATGGATAATAAGAAACTTCTGTGAGTTAAAAGAACATGTTGTAGCCCAATGTAAAGAAACTAACTTTGAAAAAAGGTTTGATGAAATCCTACTGAGAATAGACAATTTAGAGAGGAATATAAGTGAATTAATGGAACTGAAGAATACAATATGGGAACTCCGAGAAGTATGCACAGGTTTAAACACTCGAATTGATCAAGCAGCAGAAAGGATATCAGAGGTCGAAGTCCAACTTAATGAAATAAAACGAGAAGACAAGAATAGAGAAAAAAGGATAAAAAGGAATGAGCAAAGTCTCCAAGAAATATGGGACTATGTGAAAAGACCTAATTTACGTTTGATAGGTGTACCTGAATGCGACGGAGATAATGAATCCAAGCTGGAAAATATTCTTCAGGATATTATTCGGGAAAACTTTCCCAACCTAGCAAAGCAGGACAATATTCAACCCCAGGTAATACAGAGAACACCACAAAGATATTCCCCAAGAAGAGCAACCCCAAGGCACATAATTATTAGATTCACCAGAGTTGAAACGAAGGAGAAAATACGAAGGGCAGGCAGAGAGAAAGGTCAGGTTACCCACAAAGGGAAGCCTATCAGAATTACAGCAGAACTCTCAGCAGAAACCCTACAAGCCAGAAGAGAGTGGGGGCCAATATTCAACATCCTTAGAGAACAGAACCTTCAGCCCAGAATTTCATATCCAGCCAAATTAAGCTTCACATCTGAAGGAAAAATAAAATCTTTTATGAACAAGCAAGTACTCAGATTTTATTACCACCAGGCCTACTTTATAAGAGCTTCTGAAAGAAGCATTACACATAGAAAGAAACAACCAGTATTAGCCTTTCTAAAAATACACCAAAAAGTAAAGAGCATCAACATAAAGAAGAATTTACATCAATGAATGGATAAAACAGCCAGTTAACATCAAATGGCAGTAATCCTAAATTTAAATTGACTAAATACCCCAATCAAAAGATGCAGCCAAAACCCAACGGTATGCTACATCCAGACCCATTTCACATGCAAGGATACACAAAGACTCAAAACAAAGGGATGGAGAAAGATTTACCAACCAAATGGAGAGCAAAAATAAATAAATAAATAAAAAGCAGGAGTTGCAATTCTCGCATCTGATAAAATAGATTTTAAAGCAACAAAGATATAGTGGTAAAAGGATCAATGCAACAATAAGAGCTAACGATCCTAACACCCAGATACATAAGACCTATAAAGAGACTTAGACTCAATGAGACAGAAAATTAATAAGGATATCCAGGACTTGAACTCCGATCTGGAACAAGTAAACTTAATAAATATTTATAGAACTCTCCACTTTAAATATACAAAATATACATTCTTGTCAATACCACATCACACCTACTCATAGGTTTAAATGAAATATTGATCGGCCATTATTAATACCCATTTTTAGAATAAAGCAACATTTCCGTTCTCTCTCCCTCTTTTTCTTCCTCTCCTTCACTTTTTTTCTTTCCTTCTCTCCTTAAAAAAAAAAGAATAGTATAAAATCTGAAAATAAGGGTGAACATAAGACAGTTCTCATCAGCTCTAAAATTTTCTATATCCAGATATTAACATAAATGAAATCCTTATGTACGATTAATTTTTGCATCCTCCCATTTTCCCTTAAAACAACAGGCCAGGCATGGTGGCTCACACTTATAATCCCAGCACTTTGGGAAGCTTGAGGTCAGGAGTTTGAGACTAGCCTGGCCGACATGGTGAAACCCCATCTCTACTAAATAATACAAGAATTAACCAGGCGTGGTGACATGTGCCTCAAGTCTCAGCTACTTAGGAAGCTGAAGCAGGAGAACTGCTTGAACCTGGGAGGTGGAGGTTGCTGTGAACCAAGATGGCACCACTGCACTCCAGCCTGGGAGACAAAGCAAGACTCTGTCACAAAAAAAAAAAAAAAAAAAAGAAAAAGAAAAAAGATTACGTACATCTGAACTTACTGCTGAAGAAAGATGTCCAAGATGCGCTAAAGTGATATAGACAATGAGTCAGTGAATGAATATGCATAGAAAAAATATGGAAAGATATAAACTGTGATGTAATGTTTTTCTCTATTTAGAGGGATTATGGCTGATCTTTTCTTTTTTTTTTTTTTTTTTAAGTTTTAAAATAAATATATAACCTGAATAAATAGAGGAAAAATAAAAGGCCTGTTCCCCAAAGTGAAATTGGTTGTGGCAAAAATAAAATGTGTGTTCTATTGTGCTGTCTTTTGTAGTTACCAAAAATGATTTCAAAGTTAGAATACGCCTATAATCCCAGCACTTTGGGAGGCCAAGGTGGGTGGATCATGAGGTCAAGAGATCAAGACCATCCTGGTCAACAAGGTGAAACCCCGTCTCTACTAAAAATACAAAAATTAGCTGGGCATGGTGGTGCACGCCTGTAATCCCAGCTACTCCGGAGGCTGAGGCAGGAGAATTGCTTGAACTCAGGAGGCGGAGGTTGCGGTGAGCCGAGATCGTGCCATTGCACTCCCGTCTGGGTAACAACAGCGAAACTCCATCTCAAAAAAAAGGAAAGAAAAAAAAATATTTCATAAAGTATAACTTATGAAATGGATCTGAGAAACATAAGAGAAATGATCAGTTAATAATTGTAATTTTTTTTTTTTTTTTTGAAACAAGAGTCTCTCACTCTGTTGCCTAGGCTGGAGTGCAGTGGCGCAATCTTGACTCACTGCAGCCTCCACCTCCTGCGTTCCAGCAATTCTCATGCCTCAGCCTACTGAGTGGATAGGATTACAGGCACCCACCACCACACCTGGCTAATTTTTGTATTTTTAACAGGCTGGGTGTTACCGTGTTGGCCAGGCTAGTCTTGAACTCCTGACCCCAAATGATCTGTCTGCGTCGGCCTCAGAAAGTGCTGGGATTACAGTTTTGAACCACCTCATCTAACTGTAACATTTAAGAAGGCAAAAAGTAGAGCCTTGCATCAGTTTGGTTTACAATGAAAATGAGTTGCTTTAATTTGTCACCTTTCAAAATATGCCTATCATGAGCCCATAATCATTGGCAAGTTCTCAGATGTAGCCTGTTGGGGGTGGTGGAAAGCCTTGAACTTCCCTTCAAACTCTGTTTTTTTTTTTTGAGACAGAGTTTCACTCTTGTTACCCAGGCTGGAGTGTAGTGGTACAATCAGCTCACTGCAGTCTCAACCTCCTGGGCTCACACAGTCCTCCTGCCTCAGCCTCTGAGTAGTAGAGACTGCAAGTATGTACCACCACACCAGGCTAATTTTAATTTTTTGTTGTTGTTTTTGTTGCAGAGATGGGGTCTCACTGTGTTGCCCAGGCTTGTCTCAAACTTTAGGGCTCAAGCCGAGCCATCCTTCTTGGACTCTTTAAGTGCTGGGATTATAGGTGTGAGCCACCACGCCTGGTCCCAACTCTTCTTACTGTTGAACCTAGGGCTCAAGGAGGCTTAGTGACATGACGTGTCAGGAATCTGGTAGAGATGCAAGAACTGCACAGGCACAGAGTCCTTCCCACTCCGCCTGTGCCGTGAGGGGATGGGAGTATCAGCCCACATGTTCCCAATATTTCTGTCATGCTGTGCTTGAAAATTCAACAATGACTTGCTCTCTGCATTTAAACCTTGTCTTTTTTTCACTCTCCAGTCCTACATTGTTAATTCCTTTGGGAGAATTGTCTGATAAGTCACAAATACCTACATTGAGTGAATTTCCCCACGTCTTCACCTCTTGCAAACACAGGGGAAGGTTGTGTTTCATAGGCATATTCTGGCGTGTGGGACTGAAGAGGGGAAACAGTGCAGTTAGTTGGAGGTCAGTCCATGACTGAATCCTTTTAACGTCACCATTTTGCAAGACTGTGAGCACAGGTTTTGGGGAGGATGAAATCATAATTTTTGATGCCAGAGCTGTTCACAGCTTTTTCTTTGATGAATCACTCTCGTTCATGTGCTTTAAAGATTTTCTTGATGTGAATTAAAACAGACTTTTGGCTTGAAGGAGTAAATTTATGAGATATAGCTTGACCCATTTTTGTCTCGAACTTCAGTTTCTGAGAATTATGACGGTCATATAGTCTGTACCCTCCTAGGGAAAAATGGCTTTATGTGAGACGTGATTTTAGTTTGGGCCCATAAATGAGTAAAAATCTTGTTTTGGTATAAATCAACTTAATTTTATTTAACATTTGTCTTCATTATTAAATTGCTGCAGTTACATTTCAGAAAACTTTAAAAATTGAGGAAATGGGATGAGATTATTAATATTTTTCTGCAATGCACTGGCATCTTTGATTATTTCTAGATTTTTTTCTTATCCATATAAAATACAACAGTTTCAAGGTCATGGTTCTGGTAGATTAAGCAAAAGCTTTTCTATTTTCATCTAATCTGCCCCCTCAATGAGCAGTGATCTATTATCTTTACTTTTTGTTTATTTCCCCTTTGGCAAAAGTTGTCAGCGTATTTTGCAGAAGGTGGAGACAATTTCTTTTCACAGATTTGGATTTAGTAGCAATATCCTAAGTGGAATTTTTCTGCTAAAAGAAATTGTTAGAGTTAAGCTGGGAGGAAATGAATCAAATGTTTCTAAACAATTCTGGGGGATAGTTCAATTCTGTTTCCTGAGGGTAGGGAAAAAAACCTGGCATTTTTATTCTAGTTCCTGGGATTTTTGACTGGGCTCAGTGTCCCAGACTGATCTTTTCTGTGTTGGTAAACGCTGCCATTTGGCTGGTGTGTTTGGTGGAAGGAAAATGTGATCTTGCCTGGTTTGGTTATTCTAAGAGAGCTTTTTTCCCTCCCTTCAGCCAAGATATGCTATTCCCTTATGCCTACTTTTTTTCCATTCTCTTCTTATTTGCAGAGTACTCGGGTGGAGTTTGACCTTCCAGAATATTCTGTTCGTCGAAGATACCAGGATTTTGACTGGTTGAGGAGCAAACTGGAAGAATCCCAGCCCACTCATCTCATTCCCGTAGGTAGTAAGTCACCACAGCTTGTTTCTCCCTTGTCCTGTGTTGTCTTTCCTGAAGGGGTTCACTCAACTCTCACCCCTTAAATTATACCAGATTCACCCAGCAAATGTATGTAAAATATGTTAATGGACACTGCATATAATATTTTACCTTTTAGGGTTTAGTTTCTGATTTGCTATATATTAAGCCCGTTTTATGTCTGGCTGGGCTTTCCTTAGACATGGGAGCAGAAATCTAGCATAGAATCCATTCCAACCACAGTTTTTCATTAAAAAAACCAACAAGGAAACCACCTAACTCTGTTTATTGAAGCAACGTGACATTTATCTACTCTAGTGCTTCCATCTGCACAGTTTTTAAAAAACAGAGCCAGAGCAAATGATATTTAAATCAGCTTTTTTTTTCCTTTGAGACAGAGTCTCACTCTCTTGCCCAGGCTGGAGTGTAGTAGTGCGATCTTGGCTCACTGCAACCTCTGCCTCCCAGGTTCAGGCGATTCTTGTGCCTCAGCCTCCCTAGTAGCTGGGATTACAGGCACCTTCCATCATGCCTGGCTAATTTTTATGCTTTTAGTAGAGACGGGGTTTCACTATGTTGGGCAGGCTGGTCTCGAACTCTTGACTTCAGAGCATCTACCTGCTTCAACCTCCCTGAGGCTCAATCACCTGAGGTCAGGAGTTCGAGACCAGCCTGGCCAACATGGTGAAATTTTTCTCTACAAAAAATTCAAAAATTAGCCAGGCATGGTGGCATGCACCTGACGGTAGTCCCAGCTACATTGGAGGCTGAGGCAGGAGAATCACTTGAACCCAGGAGCTGTGGGTTGTAGTGAACCAAGATTGCACCACTGCATTCCAGCCTGGGTGACACAGCAAGACTCCATCTCACACACACACACACACAAGAAGTAGAAATAGTAACGATTAGACACCAGATGTTTCTTTGGGTCTTAGGGTCTTTAGGGCGGTTTGAGTCATAAAATTCAGAGGGGCTGATTTATCTTTCAGTAAAAACCTTTGTTGAATGATAACTTCGCAGTACTACCAACTTTCTGTTACCACTGCATCTTCCAGCCTTCTCTATTTCCCCATGGTTAGAAGAGGCAGTGTATGTTGTGAACACACTGGCAGTTTTCTCAGTTTTTAAGGCGAAAAGAGCCACGTTGCTAGTACTGTGATAGAAATGATAGCTCTCACCTGGGACACAGTTCTTCTCAGAGCATCTCCTTTTTTCCCACATGCCCTTTCTGCTCTCCAGTTTTGCTTTTCTGTCTTCTAATCCCTTAAAAACATGCCTGAAGAGGAAATAGTAGTTTTTAAACAGTTGGGAATATTTCTTAAAATAGAATCTTAAGGTGGCAAAATTGGCAGCTAGTGAATAATTTTTTAAAAATAAACTGCATTTTAAAACGTTATCAGAATTACAGAATTATTGTGAAGGTGGTAGAGTGAATTCTCAACCCTCACATCCAGTATTAACATTTTATGTTAGTGTCGCACATTTGTCACAGTGAACCAGTCATTACTATGAGGTAAACAGCATTATTAACTAAAAGTCTTTTATTCCAAGTTCCTTTTTCTTTTTCTTTCTTTGAGGTGGCGTTTAGCTATGTCACCCAGGCTGGAGTGCAGTGGCACGATCTCATCTCACTGCAGCCTCTACCTCCAGGGTTCAAGCAGTTCTCCTGCCTCAGATCCTGAGTAGCTGGGACTACAGGTGCCTGCCACCACACCCGGCTAATTTCTGTATTTTTAGTAGAGAGAGGGTTTTGCCATGTTGGCTAGGCTGGTCTTGACCTCCAGTGATCTGCCTGCCTCGGCCTCCCAAAGTACTGGGATTATAGGCATGAGCTACCACATCTGAACCAAGTTCCTTTTTCTATTCCAGGATCTTATCCAGGATCCCACATTTCATGTAGCAGTCATGTCTCTTTAGGCTTTTCTTGGTTGTGACAGTTTCTTAGGCTTTCCCTTATTTGGATGTCCTTGACCGTTTTGAGGAATACTAGTCAGGAATTTTGTAGACCATCCCTCAGTTGACATTTGTCTGATGACTTTCCTGATTGGGGTAATGTGTTTGGGGAGGACACCACAGAGGCAAGCTGCCACCCTCATCACCTCCTATCCAGGGCACGTGCTGTCAACAGGGTATGTCTCCGTTGATGTGAACCTCCGTCACCTGATTTCAGGTAGTACTGGTCAGCTTTTTTCACTGTACAATTACTCTTTCTCCCTGCCTTTCTGTACTGTACTCTTTGGAAGAAAGTCACTGTTTATTTGTAGCCCACACTATGCATTAGGGAGCTGCCCTCCTGGCAGGCAGCTGGTGCCTGTGAGGTTGGTACTGGAAGCTCAAAGGTAAGACAGTGACACCTGCTGGTGAAACGTAGTGACTACTCTTCCATAGACGCTAAAAGAGGATCAGAGTTTCCAGAATGCCCAAGGTGGATCCACAGAGTATCTTTAAGTGTGGTTTCTGATGGTCTGGATAGAAGCAGTTGGTAGAAAGCTACTTTAGAAATAAGCAAAAACGCATTTTTTTCCCCATAAATTCCTAGTACTCACATATCTGGAATGGAGAGAGATTTAATATGGGAGAGACTCTTTAAGTGTGAAAGTCAAACCAGAAACCAACCCCCTCATCCCCTACAAAAAATCATGTTATTTAAGCATCATCTGGGGAGGCACAGAGGCTGAGATGAGAAGTTATAAGGAAGAGAAAGGACCCCTGCCTTGGGGAACTTATTAACAGTTGGAGACCCAGTAAATTTGCAGAAATGTTCATTTCCCTTTTTAGAAATGGATTTATTGAGATCTAGTTTATATAACATATAATTCACCTATTTGAGATGTACAGTTCAAAGGCTATTAGTATATTCATAAAACTGTACAACCATCAGCATTATCCATTTTAGAATCTTTTTATCACCCCCAAAAGAAACCTCACATCCCTTGGCTGTCACTTACAAACACTGTATATATCCCCCCGGCCCTGGCGACCCCTTGTGTACTTTCCACAGATTTACCTCTTCTGGGCATTTCATGGAAGTGAAATGATACACAATGTGATTTTTTTGTTGCTGGGTTTTTTCACTTAGCATATTTTCAAGGTTCATCCATGTTGTAGCATATATTAATATTTTGTTCCTTTTTATTGCCACATAATATTCCAGTTTGTGGATAATACCACATTTTGTCTGTTCACCCTTGATGGTCATTTTGGTTGTTTCACCTTTTGGCTGCTGTGAAGATTCATGGACAGGTTTTTCTGTGGACATGTTCTCATTTTTGGGGTGGTGGTATATTCCTAGGAGTGTAATTATTGAATCATACATAACTCTATAATTGATGCTTTGAAGAACTGCCAGACTGTTTCAAAAGCAATGGTATCATCTTACATTTCCACATCTCCATCAACGTTGTTCCTGTTTGTCTTTTGAGTTGTAGCCATCCCACTGGATGTGCAGTGCTATCTCACTGTGGTTTTAATTTGCATTTTCCTAATGATGTTGAGCATCTTTTCCTATGCTTTTGGATATTCGTGTATCTTCCTTGGAGAAATATCAGTTAAGATCTATTGCCCATTTAATTGGGATGCCTTTTTATCCTTAAGTGTTCATAGTTCTTTTTAAAAATTAATTAATTAATTATGCATTTATTTAGAGGCAGGATGTTGTTTTGTCTCCCAGGTTGGAGTGCAGTGGTGCAATCACAGCTCACTGCAGCCTCGACCTCCCAGGATTAAGCAATCCTCCCACCTCAGCCTCCATACATATGTGCCACCATGCCTGGCTGTTTTTTTAAAAATTTTTTGTAGAGACAAGGTGTCACTGTGTTGCCCAGGCTGGTCTTGAACTCTTGGGCTGAAGTGATCTTCCCACCTCAGCTTCTGGAATAGCTGGGACTACAGGCACTATGTGCCATCATGCCTGGCTAATTCTATTTTTTTTTTTTTTTTTTTGGTAGAGACAGGATCTTGCTATGTTGCCCAGGCTGATCTCAAACTCCTGGTCTCAAGCAACCCTCCTGCCTTGGCCTTCTAAAGTGCTGAGATTATAGGCAGGAGCCACCGTACCTGGCCAAGAGCAACTATGCGTTCTTAAAATGCCATCTTGGAATTAGAAGTATGCTGGGTGTATATGTTTGTCATCTCATAATAGCAGTTCACTGTGTTTTTTTTCATTATGTAATAGTTGGAGCCAGCAGACAGTCTTCATTATGACTTTTTCCCTCAGCATTTTTTTTAAAGCTTTATTGAGATGTAATTGATATACAAAATAACCTGGCACATATTTAATGCATACAGTTCGATAGTCTTGTATGTACCCCTGAGACCATCATCACAGTCAAGGTAATAAACAGATCTATCACCTTCACAAGTTTTCTTGTGTTCCTTTGCTGTTTTTTTTTTTGTAATAACATGTAACATGATATCTCTTCTCTTACCACATTTTACAGCGTGCAACACCGTACAGTCATTTCCCCTTATTTGCAGTTTTGATTTCCATTGTTTCAGTTACCTGTAGTTCAAAAATATGGAAAATTCCAGAAATAAACAGTTCATAAGTTTTACATTGTTTGCGGTTCTGAATAGTGTCATGAAATATCGTGCAGTCCCACCTAGGACATAAATCATCTTTGTCCAGTTACCCATGCTGTAGACACTGCCCACCTGTGAGTCCCTTAGTAGCCCTCTTTGTTAACAGGCTGGAGATCACAAGAAGAGGTGAGGACAGTACCATATTTTGAGAGAGAAAGACCCTGTCCACATAACTTTTATTACAGCATATTGTTATAATTGTTCTCTTTTATTATTATTGTGAATCTCTTACTGTGCCTGATTTGCTAAATTTTATTATATACCTATACATATGTGTGTGTGTGTGTGTGTGTGTGTATACACACATATGTATAGGTATATATAGGTGGGAAGATCACTTGAGTCCAAGAGTTCAAGACCAGCCTGGGCAACACAGTAACACCTTGTCTCTAAATTTTAT